TGGCTGGGCATTGCACAGCAGCATGAGGTACATGCTTGACCGTCAAGCCACCTAAATTTTCAGGTAAAAAAATGAGCTGCAGTTTCTCTGAGCTGCAGAATATGGTCCTGGGAAGGCCAGCAACTGTTCGTGCCTCCTGCTGAATCCACTGCCTTGCCTCATCAGGGGGAACAAGAGCAACTGCAACCTGCCTTCACATTAATCAAGCATGACAGAGCTGTGCAAGTTCATCTCTCCCAGCAGTGCCACCAGGCACTTGAAGAATGAATCCCAAGGAAGCATGCCTGTCTGCTTTTTCTGATCAGAAAGCTCCAGGGAATACACACACTGAGGCTCCCACCACTTCCAGACCTTTCATCTCTGGTTTGTATGGCAAGGCTTTGGTAGTGGTGGGGGCTTGGGGAGGGAGCTACAGTCAGAAGCTCTCAGAAGGCTCCTCTGTGTCTGACAGAGCCAATTCCAGACAGCTCCAAGATGGACCCACTGCTGGCCAAGGCTCGGGCTGTCAGTGACAGGGGTAGCACCTGTGGGATAACAGATTTAAGAAGGGAAAAAATCTGCACAACAACTTCAGCTGGAGAGTGGAATGAGAGTGAGAGCAACCCTGCAGACCCCAAGACCAACAGAGAAGGAGGAAGAGGAGGCGCTCCAGGCACCGGAGCAGAGATTCCCCTGCAGCCCCTGGTGCAGCCCATGGTGGGGCTGCTGTGTCCCTGCAGGACAGTCCAGGACCCTGCAGCCCAGGGAGGTCCATGGGGCAGCAGATATCCACCCACAGCCCATGGGGGACCCCAGGGCAGGGCAGGTGGGTGCCCAAAGGAGGCTGTGACCCCGTGGGAAGCCTGTGCTGGAACAGGCTCCTGGCAGGGTCTGTGGGGCCATGGAGAGAGGAGCCCACAGCAGAGCAGGTTTGCTGGCAGGACTTGTGACCCTGAGGGGCACCCGCTGGAGCAGGTGGTTCCTGAAGGACTGCGCCCCAAAATTCAGGAAGCCAAAAATCAGCCTGGAAAGAAGGGAAGGCAAGGATGAACACCATCCTTAAACATGAGTCTATTTGTCATGATTCTGATTTGACTAGATTAATTTCCCCATATCAGTATTCTTTTGCCCATGACGGCAAATGATGAGTGATCTCGTCCTATCCTGATCTCGACCCACGAGCCTCTCGTTATATTCCCCCTGCCGTGCCAAGCTGCGGAGGGCAGTGCCAGGGCGGCTTTACAGGGCACCTGGCGTCCAGCCAGGCTCAACCAGCCACAACGCGGCACGACCCGGGCAGGGGGTCCGGGACGGAGACCCCCAGCTATCAGACGGAGCCCTCCCGAGCGCCTGGCAGGTTCTCCCGCAGGGCACCAGCCGGGGCCGGAGCTGCCGGGCACCTGCCCTTCCCCTCAGCCCAGGCGCCACCCGAGCCACGCGAGGCCGCCATGACACCGCCATGACACTGCTACGGGGCCGGGGCGGGGCCTCCCCGCGGCATCTCGCGCGACGCCCCGCCCCTGGCCCCGCCCCCGCCGCGCCGGCGTCACAGTGGCGCGTTCGGCCGCCCCGGCCCGCGCGTGACGTCGGCGCGTCCCGCGGTCCCGGCGGCGGGGCCGGAGGGAGCGGCAGGTGGCGGCGGGCGGAGCGGAGCGGGGCCGAGCGGAGTTGAGCGGCGCGGGCCGGCCCGGCGGGTGAGTCCCCGCGCCGCCGCGGGCAGGCCCGAGCTGGAGCGATCGGAAGGAGGCGACGGCCTCGGCCATCAAAGGCCTCTCCGACAGCGCCCCCTGCGCGGCCGCCCGGGGCCGGGGCGGCGTTGCCTCCCCTCGCCCCTCCGCCGCCGGCGGGGTGCGGACCGAGCCGGAGCGGGCGCCGCGGCCTCCCCGCGCGGGTGAGTGCCCTGAACAAAAGGCCGGCTGCGCTGGGCTGAGCCGAGCGACGGGCAGCCGCCCGGCGGGCAGAGCCCTGCCCGGTATTGTTTTGGCGGCGGGGAGGGTGGGGGGTGTCGCCCGCCGCCGCCCCCGCCCCGCCCCGCCCGTGGGGTCACGTGCCGGGTGTCGGGGCCGCGGCGGCGCAGCCCTGCCGGGAGCCCTTCCCCAGGCCCCGCACGGAGAGGCTGCGAGGGAGAGCCGGGACCGCCGGCAAAGCCTCCCGGTCCCTCCTGCTGGGCCAGGCCCCCTTCCGTGGAGCCGTGTCCCTGCAGGAGGTGGCGCCCCGACGCCGGTGCGGAGCGAGGTGCGCGCGGAGTGCCGGACCGGGCCCGGACTTAGGCTGGACTCGATGGTCCTGGAGGTCTTTCCCAACCGAATTGATTCTGTGGTTCTGTGAGTAGGGAGTTTCGTTGTGCTGGGCAGTAAAATAGGTCAGGAGCATTGGCCGTGGCGGCGTCACGCGTGGCGGAATTCCCTGGCCGAGCCGGCGCAGCGCTCTAATTCCCAGGGCGAGGTGCTGTAAGTGTGGCTTCGTCCCTGCGGATGTCACCGCTGGCCCGGCCGGGCTCGGTCACTGCCGGGCGGTCACGGGTGCGCAGCGCGGAGCGCCCAGACAGAAGTAACGAAGTGTTCCTAGTGGAAGTGCTGGTGTTTCTTTTTGCTTGGCGGCCTCGGCTCAAGTGTTTGCATTGTATCCCTTAGGAATGTTGAAAGGGGACGTGAAACGTGAAAACGGGCCCCGCTTTTGGCGCGGTACACGTTGCCGCCACTGAGGAATTGTTGTTAAAAATATTAACTAAATGCGAGGTTTTTGTACGAACAAGACAATCGGAATGGTGAAATAGTTAAACTGAAACTGTGGGGGTTTAATCTTAGTACAGCTTTTCAATGGTATGTCTGAGAAACGCTGTAGGTTTCCTTACTGCAATGTAATATGCAGTTACATATTAGCAATTACAAGGAGGAGTATGGAGCGGAGCTTAAAAACGTTTTGCTTCTGTCGGCTTTGTAATATTAAAAATCCAGTCCTTCTTGCTTTGTTAGCTGCTGTATCTGGACCATGGGTTACTTAAAAATAGATTCTGAAGCATCTCTAAAAATGCAGTACCAAAAATTACGGTGTGTAATAGTATTGAAGACACAGTGAAATCTGAATCTTCATTTGGTAATTTTTAATAAATCTTAATTATTGAATGCTTTTGCAAGAACTTGCTTTATGGTCTTGCATGGTTAATACTGTAGTTTCTTTCCAAGTCTATTGAAGTGGCAGTTGTTTAAATTGCTATAATACAAAATCAGTAGTGAGTGAAAGAGAAAGTTTGTTCTTGTTTCCTTCAAAATGTATTGCATCAATTTAGATGTAATTGAATTGTCATTTATTTAAAGAGCTGGAACTGCAGTATGTTTATAGCCTATTGAATAATGAGCTCCTGGAAAAGTCCACATTGAAATTGATTTTTTTTTTCCTCTCTTCTGTGTATATTAATGAAGTCTGTATATATATATCCAAAGAGATGTCCCTGTACTTATTGAGTTTCTGGAGCATTGGTAAGTTAAGATGAACCAGTTTCTGCTTCATTTTTTGCACACTTTTGTTTTTGAGTGAGAAATTAAAATTTTTCTGTGTTAAATAGATTGAAATAGGATGTATGCTCAAAATTCAACATCAGTGCTCCAATTGTAGCATAGGAAACAACCTCATTTTCAATACATGTAGTATTTAATACTGAAATGGCTGACTGCTCTGCACTTGACTATTCTATGATTCAGTTCCAAGTATACAAATAAGTGTTGAGGGTTTATTAAAATGCCATAGCCAATAATAAGGAATGACAACCAACTTGAAGCCTCATCACAATCAGCAATTCCTGAGAATATTCTAAGTTTAAGAAACAGATACAAAAAAAGTAGGCAAGCACAGAAAACAGTGAAGTTATTTATCTGTTGTGGTATCCAGTGCCAGGGAGAGATTTAAACATCTGATAAGACTCAGTACCTTGAGCTGGTAGTGTATTGACAGTAGCAGACCGTCAGATAGGAGAGTGATTTTTCCTATTAAATGAAACAACCACCTTCTTTCTTCACACACTGTCTGGATCATGGTTACTTGTGGGGAAGGACAGCATTCAAGGGATCTTTTTCTCCTCCTACTCCCAACAGAGTTACAAATTAGGAACCTTCATGGAAAAAAACCCCAAGTATTTAATGACAGAAGAGCATTTACTCTTGTGAATTAATACTGTAACTGCACTGAGTTTTCAAGGAGGGGAATGATGAATTTGTGATAGCTATTTTAAAATAATCTGTATTGCAGTATTCCTAGATTTGTCATTTGAAGTAGGACTCATGTAATAGTCTTTGGCTAGTGTTTGTTGAATTCACCAGTGTTGCACTTGTGTGCTTTTAAAAAGCTAAGATTTTCCTTACAGAGGAAGCTTAAGACTGTAGGTAATTCTTCAATAGGAGCTGTCTTCCTAAATATGTATGCTTCTGGTTTTGGTTTGGGTGGGTTATTTGTTTGTTTGTTTGATTGTTGGGAGCTTTTTGTAATTGTTGCTGTTTTTTTCCCCAAATGAATAAGAGTAGAAAATTATGCTGGGCCTCATAATTTACTGGGTCTCATAATTTAATGAGCACAACTGACTGAACTGACAAGAAATGGTTTCATTCCATCTTGGCCTAGTAAAAGCTTAACATTGTTCTTCAGGAGAACCTGAAGTCATTTTGGGAGATAGGTCTGGTAGGAAGTCCACCACTTCAAATTCTTAAAGTGTGGAAGAAGTGGACGTGACTTCTCCCAGTAAGCATCCTGAGAGAATTTCAAGGGGACAAAGAGAACAGTTCCATGCTGGCTGAGCCTCTGTTTGGATGGGGATGGTCCTGATCAGTGACATTGTCCTTCTGTCTGTTGCATTTCTAAAGCTTCAAAATCAGTATGTGATAGGATGCAGGGGTTTAGGGAGGGATACCTGCAGGTTGCTGCAGATAGCATAACTCATACTACAGGAAAAAGAGAAAATTAATTGTGAAGTATAGAACACAGCCCTTACCCAGGTGACTTCAAAGGAGGAGTCATCATCCAAGAAGGGACATGTGTGTAACCATAAGTGTTTGTCAGTCCTTTCAGTAGAATTTTCAAGACTGGCTTATTAAATAAGTAGCAATGTCATGAAATGTAGAGGTTACCTGATGTCAGTGTGTGAACTAGTTCTTTTCAAGAGCCTTGCAGCAGTTGTAAAGTTGCCTTATCACAATTCTGTAATTATGCCTTCTTTGGATTCTTCTAGATATAATTTCATATCTTGAATACATGTATACATTTTTATTTCCTAATAAATCCCCCAGAATTGACCCCGCCTTTTTTTTGCCATCTCCACATAGCATTTGGTTTTATGATGTTCTACCTCTAGTAGTGGATTATGAGAGGGAGTAGATAAAAGGCTTCAGGTGATACCTATTGAAGTAACAGAAAGCCAGCTCCCAAGATGAAGGACTGAATACCACACCCAGAGCATCAAGCTTGTTGCAGCTGTCTCTTTGATCATAGAAAACATAGTATCTTGTCTCAGTGGATTAGTAGAGCCACCATTCTAACGCGATTGCTGCTCTTGGTTTCAGATTGATGTGTGAAGAAAGGAAAGCTGCTAGAACTATGAGGAGAGAAAAGGTGTGGATAGGCTTGTCAATTTTTCCTTTGGAGCTCATTCTAAAAATAGCTGTACAGAATACTACATGGAGCTCAACTATAAAGAAAATAACATATTTTATTAATGCTTCATGCACTGAAGTAATCTAAACACTGATACTATTAATGATAAATGTTTGATCATTTGATGAAGGACTATAGCACATAACACTATAATGCTCCATGTTCATTCAGGGTCTTACCACTCCTTGATTTTACTCGACTCTTAACATGTCTGCTCTGCACTGTATTTATGCTGAAATTATTCTTTCCTTGAACAAATTTAAATCAAAGAGGTGACATTCTCAAGTCTACTTCAAATTATTCCTATATATAATGTTTTGCAGCAACTGGAAACGGTAGTTCAAGATGTTTGAGTATCATCCAGAAAGCGACAGACCAGAAGGAAGATTCTGTGGCTCATCAGTCTTTTGACAGAGGATTCACTGACAGTGGTTCTCTTAGATCAAGACCTTCTGTTTAGGTTGTGAGAATGCAAGAGTGTTGGTCTCCCTTCCCTTTCTGAGTCTGCAGATTCCTACTTCCCTGCTGTAGGAACTTTTTAGGTATTTGTTTGGCACTTAGTGATTATGATTATTATGTATTTGTGAAATAACTTGGCTAGGATTCTGGTTCACCAGATATATTGCAACTGACATTATCTATTAGCCTGAAGAGGGGTATATTACCTCTGAGTTATGGAGGCTGAGTTGCATCCTTGTCCTCTTTTTTAGAAATCATATGCACTCTTTCTGTCATTGAACCTTGGTGCCTATCAGGATATTTTAAAGAAGTAGAGGAAGGTCGTAATTATTATTTGTTGTTGTTTGTTTACCTTGGTAAGTATCAAATGTAGGTTGTAGAGTTTGTTTATAAGGTGGTATGAGAACATACAAATGTAGATTTATAAAGAAGAAAGTGCTGAATTGTTCTGAGGTTCATTCATAAATGGATGCAGTGATCTCTGTAAGAGGATGAGGTTTCAAGGCTTTGAGCCTTGAAATATGAAGAGGCAAATTTCTCATTGAAATATGGAGAAGACCAGGGGGGAGAGCAGTTGTTCATGTGCACTGCTTTTTCCTCAAGCATCTGATACTAGTCTGTGTCAGGACAAGAACATGGTTAGATGCTTCTTTGGAATGGTATGATAGTTTTATAAAAAGCTTTAGAAAGCTATTGTGACTTTCTAAATATCCTGAATATAAGGGATCATTTATTAGAGGTTAAATTTGCATAAAACTGACATGCTCCTTACTTTGGTCTTGTTTCTCCTTTTGTGTTACTCCTTTTGTGAGGTCACTGAGCAATTAATTGACTATAGTCAAAAACAATTGCCTTTTATAGTGCTTAAAAAAATACTATTTGTTTAAGCCAGACATAAAAATAAAAACTGTGGATCAAAACTGATGGTTACAAAAAATGACACAGAAGTCTGGTGATAGTTCTATTGAAAAAAAACATGCATCAAGTAAATAAAAGCATAATAATTTCCTTTCTGTTAAGAACCATGGTATTGTACTTTGCTCATTTGTACCTCTAGACAACATTGTAATGGTGGTATTGTTTGCTTTCTGTTAGTTTGCAGAGAAGCTGAAACACTGTTGTGTACCACTGAGCAGGACAAGTCAGGAATGAGCAAGCCTTGGGAAGGAGGACCTGCCATCCTAGCTGGAGACATCTGAAGAGAGAACATTTCAGTCTTGTGGCATGCTTCAGTAGAAATTATTCAGAAAAAGTAAGCTGTCGTTTTGTTACTGAACTTCAACATGTCAGCTCCTTGATGGACTGTTTAGTTGCAGTTAGAATTTGACCTGGAATTTGGAGTGGTTTTGTCTGAATTTACATTTTCTTCCATTAGAGTGCAAGAAGACCTGGGGTCTTTTTATGTAGCTGTTACACATCACCTCTTCCATACTTAATTTATTGATGAAGGCTCCATAGCTTAGAAATTAACTGTATTATTTAATATTAAAAATAAAAACCACAAGAGGTGGGATCTTGCAAGATTTTGGACTAATTCTGTCTCGATTTTAGGCTGTATTTATGTTAAAATGCAGAGTTCAGGTTCTTCTTGTTCTCTTATTTATACCTGCATTGAGGATCTAAATACTTAAAATAAAACTGTTTTTAGAATTATTCCTTGAGTTTAGTTAATTTTTAGTCAAGAACATGATTTTAAAGGGAAACCAATCTTCCAAAAAATAGAGCTTTCCTATTTGATAACAGTTCTGATATAAAGCCTGTTTTGATTGAACTTTGTTATAAAATATTACTTTTATTTTCAGGAAAAATACTGTGTGGTCAGTTTTGTTTAATTCTTAATACCATGAAGTTGCAGTGGAAGTGCTTCCACAGCCATAACGTAGCAGAATAGCCATCCAAGATGTTTGTCCTTGGTTCTGAAGGATTACTTCTTCTGTAAAAACCTACGTGTGCATCCTCCTACCAGTGTATAAACAAACTCTGTGACCTAGATTTGGTATTAAAAAAGGTAAATTAAAAAACAAAATATTAATTAGCATCATGATTTAAAAACAAAAAGTGAGACAGCTTCAGTGTAGTTGATAAAAATCTTCAAATGCATAATTGTCCTGCATTCTGAGCACATGCAACTGCAGCTGTGCTTATTGTATCAGTTTTATGTTCCTGGGTAGCACTTTTAGAGATAAGGGTTTACTCCTCCAGCTCTACTCATTTTATACATAACATTTTCCTTAGAATCATTAAAAATCAAATAGGAATTAAAAAAACCCCACATTTACTCCTTTTCATATCCTGCATTATTATCTTGATCTAGTAAGGAATCAAAGATTCCTCAAATTAATGGGTGACCTGTGGAGCACAGTTCAAATGTTAGCATGTTTTGCTTTCAGTGGACAGGTGAGAACTTTTAATTCTTCTTTTAGTTTACCTCAGGGTAAACTCTCTTTAGTTTAGCTCATGGTATCACAATTTAGTTTGTCAAAGTGCATTGCCTTTTTAATCCCTGCATTGCATTTTAATCACCTCCAAAATCTTAATGATGATAGGTGACTTGTATAGAAGTTACTTACCTACAGGTTGTTTTAATCTTTTCTTTGACTCTGAAAAGGATAATTTTATAAAGGATATTCAGGGAGAAGTGTCCTTTTGTAAAACTGTAGCATGGAAGTAAAAATCTCTGCTGCTGTGCTTTTTTGCACTGTACTACTCATTGTGGGGACACTTGAAAATTAAGATCCTTTACCTCAGCCATGGTTAGCACAAATTAATCAATAAATGGATTTCTCTTTCAGCTCTTCTGTTGTGAAATGATGGTTGGATTGTGTTTGTGGTTATTCTGAAATCTAAATAGACTTTCTTCTCCCCTTTTTCTAATAAGTTTCTTGGTATAAACCACTACCCTTGCTATGAAAATCTGTTGCAAAATACAGCCTCAGAAGTGTGAGGCTTCCAAAAAGCAACTTATTCACAACATTGTTAGAATGGATCTCACAGATGTGTGCTGTGCAGTAAAATCACGATTGCCAGCTGGTAGGTAATGCTGTGTCTGTATCTGGCGTGCTTTATTCAAGAACTGTTGTGCAGACTGGTCATTAATCTCAGAAAAAGAAATTCAGATACGAAACGGAAACATAGGTGAATACAATTTTGTGCTACTTCAGGAAAAAGTATGTGAGCCGTAGAGCTTATAAAAGAATCACTTGATTAAAAAAGGGATTAAAGAGGCATTGGTCTTTCAAAAGGAAATTTTAGTGCTAAAGGGAACAGACAGCATAGAGAAAATTATTTTAAGTAAACAGCACATGATACATCATTGTAAAGATAAATATAGATACTGAAGCTTTTTTTTTATTTTTTTTTTAATCACAGATATATTTATAAGATTTTTAAAGCAGTGGAAGCTTTTACAGTAATACCAGGCATTTTCTCGTGAGGTACCAAGTTTTGTTAGAAACGTATGTAACGTTAGAACAGGCTGTCCAGGGAGCCTGTGGTATTTCCATCCTTGCAGGTTTCAAAAAAACTCAGATAGACAAAGCCACAGGTGGTCTAATGTAGTATTGGTGTTGGTGCCATGTGGATCAGGAGACAGGACTAAGTGACCTCTAAAGGTCTCTTTTGGCCTACATGCTTGTGGTAGTTTTGCATGAACTACTCCTAGCTGTCTGTACAGCTACTTCACTACTTTCACTGAAAGCCTGTTTTGTTGAATATCAGTCTTGAAGTTTCTTGGGGATTTTAAATTTAAAAAGGCACCTTTTTAGGCCCCATTCCCCAAAGCCCATTCTCCTCCCTCATTTAGTATCTGGTATTTGGTTTTGATTGTTAATAAATAAAAGGAAAATTACCATGAAACAGACCGTGAAAGATTGCCATGGCAAAAATATAGTTGAGAAGGCATTTGCATATTTAGGCTAGAATTTTTCAACTACTTAAATCCTACACGATGCCAAAGTGATGCAGTTTTGCATTCCCCATTCTCTTACAGTTACAAAATCACCTTTAAAAACAGAAATAAGATATGGCCAGAGAAAGTGAAGGCAATTACTTCACAAGCTAGTCAAGTCAGAGTTGTGTGTCTTCTGCAATACGCTTCTGCTGGTCTGCAGTGATTCCTTTCGAGAGGCACTCACATATATCAGGGAGTTCACTTGATGTTTAAGAAAAAGGAGTCCAAGGTATCTTTTGAAAAAGGCCACCTCAGTTTTCAAATCTGGTTCTTTCTGCAGCCTTGTGGTTGTTCGGAGCTCAGTTTGAAGGTGGCATACCGTGGTGCATGGGGACTAAGAAACAGAGTGGGGGAATTCATCAGCTGGGTGCTGCTGTGAGGCATATTTTCTGTTGCGTAAGCCTAGTCTGAGATACTGTTCAGGCAGTCTCTTAATCAACCAGATGATCACTTGTAGTCTGAAGAGAGATTGTTTAAGTTCAAACTGCAGCAACATCACCTCTTGAGGAAAGAACCGTAATTTCTTTGAATTTCCTGAGGAGGCATCAAAGTAACTGGTTGGCTGAAGGTTCATTAATCAACTCTACTTCAGGAAGTGAACAAAGGAAATGCCAAAATTTGTTTTCTAACTTGGTGTGTTAACATGCTGAAAATTAAACAGATAAAAGGTTGGTGATCAGCAAAAGAAATCTTTCCAGTACACAATGTAGTCTTGTCACTCAGGAAACAGTAACTTACTTTAATTTGAAGTAAACATCTTGTTGTGTGGATGTTGAGGTGAAATGTGATGCGAGGTGCTGGTTTAAGTTGACATAATGAACTGATTTAAATTTCTTTGATCCTCTGCAGGATGGCTGGCTGTGGTGAAATAGATCATTCGATCAACATGCTTCCCACAAATAGGAAGACAAACGAGTCATGTAGCAGTGCAGCACCTTCCCTGCAAGTCCCTGAATGTGCTATCTGTCTGCAAACGTGTGTCCATCCAGTAAGTCTGCCCTGTAAACATGTTTTCTGCTATCTGTGTGTTAAGGGAGCTTCTTGGCTTGGGAAACGATGTGCACTCTGCCGGCAGGAGATTCCTGAGGATTTTCTTGACAAGCCAACCTTACTGTCACCCGAAGAACTCAAAGCAGCAAGCAGAGGCAATGGAGAATATGCTTGGTACTATGAAGGTAGAAATGGCTGGTGGCAGTATGATGAACGTACCAGCAGAGAGCTGGAAGATGCCTTTTCCAAGGGTAAAAAGAGCACTGAAATGCTAATTGCTGGTTTTTTATACGTAGCAGACCTTGAAAATATGGTTCAGTATAGGAGAAATGAGCATGGACGTCGCAGAAAAATAAAACGGGACAT